GGGGGTTTGCAAGTATGGATAACAAATTTGGTGTCCGGCCTGACCTGTGGAGAATCGTCGTCCCTCCTCTGGCATCTGTGCCATGATGTCCGGGGAGGAGAAGATGGGCTCCAGGTAGAGCCAGGTGGCCTGCACCTTTAGCCACTCGTCCAGGATGTCCTGGAGCAGCATCAGCTTGGTCTCCCACTCCCTGGCACACACAGATTGTTTGTGTTAGTAAGGTTTTTAAAAGTTTTAGTAAGGTTTTACGGTGCTCGCAATTGCATAAAGTCATATTATGAGCGCCAACGGGAGGATGTCAACAGAGATGTATAAATGGGGAATCAGGCTTACTCTGCTCACCTCTCTAGCCTCAACAGCACAAAGTCTGCTCCGACTATCAAGGCACCTCAGAAATAGCAGTTCACAAGAGAGTGACAAACACAAAAAAGAAATAGAGGAAAATGACAATAGTAAGGTTGAAGAATGAAAAAGCAGCAGTTCCCCCTCTGTTGTTCCGGCACAGTATGAGCATGACATTGATAAATCAGCCCATTTACAATTCTACTGTGCATAAGAACAGGCTAATATCCCCCCTTTGGGAATGGCCTAAAGACACTTCAGTGAGAGAGAGAGTTCATGCATTTGTGTGAATGATATGTTTATTTACATCAACCTATTGTGCATTTTTTGTTCCCATAAAACTGTTTTTACTGTTTCTAGTTATAATAACATCATCCTCATAAATCCCTCTCTCTCTTGCTCTCTATCTCTCTTGCTCTCTCTCTCTCTCTCACTCTCTCTCTCTCTCTCTCTGTCTCTCTCTATTTCTGTCTCCCTCTCTCACATACACACAAACACATCCTGGCACGGATTTATGCATACAGTCAGCCAAACAAATGATACTTTATCACCTTTCAAAGACTATGGCTGAGCTCACATCTCTTTGATACTTGGCAGTTCATCACAAACAAACTGGCATCTTGACTTTCTACTCTATGTAATGCTCATAACAAAGTTTACTCAAAACAGTAGTTCCTGGCCATTCAATGACCACAGATTGACAGTGCACATTATGAACTTTAAGAGACCCCTATCTCCAAAGAGGACAAAAAAGTACTATTCAAAAGTGACTCTGAGAGAAATCTCTTTTACAGCTTTTTAAATAACTAATTTGAAAAAGAAGTGTATATGGGTCTTGAGAAGGTAGTATTTGCTCAGTCACAAGGAACATGCAATGTGAATGACACACTTAAGATTTAAAAAAAACAAAAGCACACAAACAACAAGAAAAAAGAACTGTGTTCTTCACTTCTTACATTCAAATCTTAGGTACAAAAGTGTCAAAATCAGCCCCACACTTCCTCCTTTCTCGTGCTTCTTCACACTTACTTGATCTCTGCCTCAAACGGCTTGATGAACGGAGACCCCCTCATTGTCTGCGTCTTCACGATGTGGTCGTCCAGCAGCTGCTGAATGTCGTCGATGGAAGACAAGATGGACGTGCCCGTCTCACGATACGGGATGATGACGAATTCGATCTGGAAGTATGAACAATCTCAAAGTGAGTTCTCATGTACTTTGTCAATACCAAATCAAATATACTCATTGCCAGTAACACACGAGGCAGGGTAAGACCCAGAAGAAAGTATTTGGAAAACGGTTTCGTTTAGTTTTAGAAAGAGTTTTAATGGCACTTGAAACACAATTAGACTATATTAGTGTCGAAGACTAGAGGTGTTAAAAGAGAGTAACCTACAAAAAAAGGAGGAAAAATGAGAACAATAGGTGGTGTTTACATCGGCTCTGCTGGTTTTGGAGCTCTTTTACAGTTTCTGTCAGGACTGTGAGCCTGAAACTTTCCTCATTCCATCGTGGAGGTGCAGTGCAGTGTTCAGACTGTTAAGTGCATTTTTTGTGTAATGAGAGAGGGGGAGAGAGAGAGAGAGAGAGAGAGAGAGAGAGAGAGGGGGAGAGAGAGTTTTTAG